CACCATCACATGGCGTTGGGTCTTCACTGGCAGCAGCTATTCTGCTTCATGACTGGCCGACAGAGGTCAATGTTGTTTTCTAGTGTCTTTTGGTTCGATGAATAGAACTTTTTCTTTTTGTTCATATCGATTGCCCTGATTGGACCTTGTGAATGTGTGAGTGTACATATCACAACTTGGCAGTGATCTCAGCCACCATCTAGCCGTTGCTCTTGCCTTGGCAACCTAGGCGTCATTTACCTAAGATTCTTGCCCAGCACTTGGCAGGACTCTCGGACATGGTGAAATATCTACGGACGCTGTTACTGAAGCGGTGAAGATGGTACACATGGTTGCCAAGATCGCAGCTTAATAGTCTACCTGCCTCTTGGTCCCTTGTAGGATATTTCAATGACGATCCCGAGCCCTCTCGAAGTTATGGATCCCGTGGTTGAGAAGTAGTCCCGAAACTTGCACACCGCGACATCAACTGGTTCTCACGATGGCCCCCGTTACCCCATTTTTTCATTGCTCCCGGAAATTTCAAAAGAGATACGCACGCGAGTAAAGACCTCTTTCTTCCTCGGCAAATCTATCTCTGTTGTCTTTGTCGTATCCGTATGCAAAGTATGTGTTCTCTGAGCAGACGAATCGGGAGAGTCTCGCATTTTGTTGCATATTCCGAGGTCTACCACGGTAGCCATGGCTTCAGCTGTCTCGTCTGATGTGTAGTTTCTCGACTAGCAGTAGCTATTTTCATTGAAAGGCTCAAGATACTGTCGACGAGGTGCGCATCTGACTCTTTGGCCTCCTCTAAAGCTGCTTGCCATTAGGACAGAGTCTTCAGCCTTGAAAACGTTTCCCATGTGTCCACGCTTGATGGGGAAGGAGAACGGCCTTGGTTTTAGTTGCTTTGGAGGTTCATGTGCACGAATGATCTGCCGTTTATGGTATGATGCTACATTCAAACGCTTTCTGGACGGCCATGTAGTGACTATTCGCAGCAAAACGGAAACCTTTCTCTGGCTGTCCGATGCATCTCGAGATAAGGTCATAGAAAAGATGGCGAGGACGAAGCGAGAGCTACTTGTAAGCATCTACTTTAACATATTCCGGGCTTACTCCAGAGAGTGCATGTACATAGTAGGCACATGTTGATCGCCAAAGCCTGTGTAGATACCTAGGTAAGTGGCCTATCAAGATTGAATCGAAGACGTCTCTAAGGAGGCTACAATTTTACGAAACGTCTGAAAAAGCAAGATATGAACCCATCACCTCTACCCCAAGAGATTCTGAACATCATATGCTTTGTCAGTTTTGCCACCCATACTTTACACTTCCATAGTACTCATTTCATGTTTCTATGATGGTTATGAGTGTCTCTGATCTAGAGGACGTTCAAGACCAATAGAATCATTTCTGCTGGCATTTACGTTCGTCAATGTAGCCCTTCCAAACGAAATACCACGAACTCTACGTATTCAAGGCCCATGAAGTGGCTGCTGTGTCTTACATGGTCGTTTACCCTACTGACCTTTCATTGGATTCTTTGAAAAGCACCCTGACTTGGATACATGTAAACGTGTACTACGGCTCAAGAACCGTTGAACACTGGAGGCATTGGCACTTGACGTGATCTCTGGAGGAGCTCGCGGCAAGGGTCAAAGAGGGTCTGTTGGCCGAATGACCCCTTGCATCGAAAGTAGTTGAGAATTGAATTTGAATTCAATAACCTGGCCTCTTGTCTCCAAGCAGTTGTCAGATCAATCCAAGGATTGTACGCCACGTCCGTCAGCCGCAACGATCATTAGGACTCCCAATACCGAGCCAGAACAGTTGAGCTTCAGGACTTAGCATGGATTGCAGGGAGCTATTGAGCCGCCGCTCGTTGTGTACTGGTTTCCCATATTGCGACTCCGTGATGTTTGACCCAGGTGTCTAGAATGGTTTAGATGGTCTCAATCTCATTGGAGAAAGTATGGTACTTTCTGCTTCAGTAGGCCCGTCGCAATGTGGTCGCTGGTGTGTTTCTGATCTCTTTGCAAGTCTCAGTGTCTTTGCCAATTTCAGTCGGTTGCGCTGGATCCTATCGAGGGAAACCGGCCTTGATAACTGGCTCTAGAATCCCTCATGTCATGCTTCGGTATGTGATGGTCTCGTCTTGTGAACGTAACCTCGAGAATTTTGACTCGTGGATTTTAATGAAGAGCAGGAGATCGAATCCGAGAACGACAATGATGGAAACCTCGATATAGGGTAAAATGATCTGATCGAACGAGTACTAGGCTCTGCGAGAATTGTTTGTTAGTATATGTTCACAAAGGGCTTTGGGGCTTTGAGTAGACTGCAGTTGGACGATGACGGTGTAGCTGAACGGTGTCTTGTACTATTTTGACAAAGATGACGATAACAGGATGGTTTATGCAAAGTAGGTGGGCATGAGGGAGCATGTTGAAGAAATGACTTGAGATATACGGGACGATGCCGGACTATTGCACTGACTTAGGTATGGTGAGCAAAAGCCCCGGAGGGTTCGAGATTTCCGAGATTTTCGAGTAGGGCTTCGTGTTCTTCGCTCGAAGGACATTGCTGATTCTCACCTTTTGTCCTGCCTACAATCATACGAATGCTTGGTTCCATCGGAACAGAGTAAAGGGGTTCGTCTGAAGTACGAAGTCGGTTTTCTCCAGTCTATGGTGTGGTCTCGGGTTTGAAGATGGATATCGATCAGTTCTGCCTGTGAATATGTACTGAAATTCTCCTTCTAAGGTAGTACCAAAAGGCATATGATATATTCAAAGACTCGAAGTGATGAGTCTGATTACTTACAGCTTGTTTGTTTGTGGGATTTGGCATTCGATGTCTGTTATCATGGTACCAGAACTATCGTGTGGAGGATAGATCATGGCCAGATCTCTGATTTTTGAAGGACTGGGACAGATTTGTTGTGTCTATATTGCCGCATATACTACAATTGTACGAGTGGAAGCGTCAAAGTAGTAACATCATGTAATGGTGAGTTATGAGAGCCACTGGCAGAAGCGCAGACGAAAGTGTCAACAACTACGTGAGAACAGCTACTTCGGAAGAACCTAGAGGACTATGCTCCCCTTCTCTGTGAGATGCAACAGATCGTATCAGAGGCATAGTGATGACCATTCGGCGTCCCTGGGAACCCTCAAGTTTACACAAGTCTTGGAAGGCCGAGACAACCGAGGAAGTTCGGCCACTCTACAGCCTCTGGTTCGTCAGTTCCTCACCGTAAGGTACGTAATTTTACGGTGATGATCCTTCCTCGGTCTCAAGCAGTGTTACGGTCGTCTGCTATTTCAATGAATGCAGCCTTGCGGCGCAGACATGCAGCCCTATTCTTCAGGCCACCCGTAAACTCCCTGTTCCTCATCCAAGGACCAAGCAAAAGCACGTAGGCCTGACCAACAAGGTATCACCAGGATCTGGGTGACTTGTTGGATCTGTGGGATCATGATGGAGGCTGGGCGACTTTGCACGTTTCGGGCTTGGTTTGCGAATCTGCCGCAATTCCCATCGAGATGGAGGGGCGACCAAGGGGGATAGTGGGCAGCAAAAGGACAGGAGGCGATTGAACATGGGCTACAAGCAGGCAGACCAGACAGACTTCCAAGAACCGACGGCGTGGCACGGCGGGCGAAGATGCAGGTAGGTTCAACCCAACTATCGGGAATTTGTGTCGTTGAAATTAGCTTCAGTTCTCGTTCAATCGGACACAGGAGAGGTGATCGTCGCCCAATGGCACGCCGTAGAAGGGTCGAGGATGCCGAGGTTCGATCCGAGGGAGGGGGTTGGAAGGATGGCTTGTCAGGTCTAGACTGGGAAGTTTGATGTCCTACCTTAGTCTGAGCCTCTGAGGGGAAATCTATAATGGTTGTCCGCCGTCCGGGCGGTTGCTCGTGGAGGGTGTGGTGGCGTGTATGCATCCTAAGATCCTCAATAGGTAGGAGTCGGGAACCTAGACTCGGGGAGAAAGTGTGCATGATCTGTGGAGGGATGTACACTATCTGCGGCGACGCCAATGCTGCTTGGCTCGTTCTATTTCTTGTTGTTTGGTAGCACGGCGAGGCATGCAGGGCGAAATTGAAGAGGGTGGCATCGAATCACCTGGTCCTCAAGGGTCCATGCTCGCACCAGCTCGCCCCAACGCCAACGCAAGGGAGACTGAAGACGATGTCTGAACCGCGGTCACGGTAGTGGAATCTTTACACGTTCACACGTTGTTGGGATGATGTGCGCTAGGACGCTTGAGACAGCAGTCACAGACTCACAGACACGAAGACCGCCATGTCGGGAACAGGGGTGGAACAGCCACGGGGAAGGGGAGGAGGCGAGTTAACGACAGCTCATCTCCCTGCTAATCTGATTGGGAATGCCTCTTCGATGCTTTCGACGACTGTTGACGACGGACAAGACGGCAACATGGCTATAAACGTCCGGATAGGACAGGTTGTGGGTGGCACGCGGCTTTTGCCAAGATCGATGGAGGCATCTTGGCGTCCGGTGGCAGACGGCGTCTCTCGATCACCTAGGAAGTTTGGCGTCCTTTGGCTCGGGTTCGACGGACTGCGTCTGAGTACCTTGTTATCGAAGAAAGTTAATTCTTTCTAAGTCACAAGTACAAGAATACAGTTTTAATAAAACAGTATAGTACCCACCCAGCACTTAAATTAAGATACTTTTTCAAGCTTACCATAAGAGAAAGATGACTATACTACTAACTACCTACCATCGAGGTCCGCAAGTAGCACTATAGCTTCAATCGCTATGGCTTCAACCGTAATAGCTTCGCCCGTAATAGGCGAAAAGTCTAGTTATGAGTCCCTTAAAAGCCTCTCATCAAGAGCTATAAGAGCCTCCGAGTATACTAAGTTAAAATGCTTACCAAGATACCAACAACCAAACCAACCCCACGATAACGACCTTAACAAAAGACCTAAAGAAAAACGCCAGAATCCTCGCCGTCGTTAGGCACAATCCACGAAGCGTAGCAACGCGGCCGCAGAGCATCGCCAACATATCCCACGCCAAAAAGGGCATCATCAGCACCAACGAGACAGACAGGGCCGTGTCAATATAGCGCCTCGGCTTCCTCCTACAGCTCGAAGATAATCGCCTTAGACAGCATTAGAAGTCCATCAAAAAGCTCTCTCGAGTACTCCGGCACATCCACCGCCATCTCCGCAATAGCAAAACTCCCGGCGCCCACGCACAAGAGTAGGTTACCTACCTCCAGACAGTAACACCAGCCTACCAACAAGCTATCAAAACTACGATTCTGGCAATCCCTTAACGAGGGAGAGGGTAGAATAGAGGAAAGGATAGGAGAGAAAAGGGTTAAGGTTAAACAGTACGGAATTCGAGGGCAGGGTAGCGTCTACATATACTACGGCAATCCTCTAGTAATGCAAAACGATGGAGTTAAACAGTGGACGGACTGCGTCTAATGAGGTCTCGAAGCCCTCGAAGCCTCCTTGAGTCCTCAGGTGGACTGGGACGGCGGACTTGTGGTACGGAGTACGCGACTCACACGGAGCGCGGCAATTGAATTTTGCTTCATTTCGTGAAGGTTCGTGGGCAGCACACTCGATTCAGTCACCGGCGCCAATAAACGAATTTCAGTTTTTCGCAAGCGCGTGCGTAAGGTAGGTACCCATGGTTCGTCCACCGTTCGAAGTTCGAGGGTCAACAAACCTCCTCGTTCGTCGTCTCATTCTTTCGGTGTCTTATTCTTGCCGTCATTCCAGTGCAGGTTCGGGACGAGTCACCCGGGAGATGGGTACAACGTATCAGTCAAGAAGATGACAGATGCCACGGCCACGGACATCCCCCATGTCTGCTGCGTCTGGAGGTGACATGACATGAGATGGAGCACGCTCCACAGGGTTATGTCACTCTTTCTGCGAGATACCCTGAGCAGTGTGTCATCAAGCCTGAAGAAGAAGCATATCACTTCCTGTCGGTGTCCTTACACCCTGGCTCGTATCTCCATTCCCCATGTACGCCTCCGTATGTCCCGTCGATCTTCTTTGCTTCTTCCCCCTCACTCTTTCTAGGTATCTCTCTCCGTCTCTCTCTCTCACTATTCTACCTTACCGACGGGGCCGCGTAGCATCACAAAAAGACCCGAAGAGGGGCAGAGACATTGGAATAGCATCCATACTTCGTCCCTATTGCCAGAAGAGTGGACTGCCAGATTTCCCAACCCCAACCCCATCTCCATGCCGCGCTGCGCCTAGTACATTCTCGGGTCTCATCGCGTGGGCTTGCATGCCTTAGTCTCAGCTTCGCGTCTAGAGCCGAATTGGGCAATCCGCCGGCAGACGATCCAATCGCATACCCGCCAAGTCGCTCCGGCGCACAGTACCGAGTCGACCGGCCGAACCATGATCACTTCTGACCTTTTTATTCATCGTGTCTTTCTATCTTATGAGTGGACATTTCAAAGAGTGAATGACCGACACACGTCCCCTCCTGGGGTCTCTCATAGCCCATCAACCCATGTCCGATGGATGAATGATGGGCCATGGGCCCCCTTTCCCCGGCTTTCTCCCCACTAGGCTCGGCGGACTTCTCCTCACCACCCACACGGGACGTGGAGGCTCCAGCTTTCCTCCACACGCACATCGTGCGTTTACCCCGCAGCCAAAGGCCGGGACGAGCCCACTTTGAACCTTTGGTACCCCGGATTTGAGCTGTTGTGGCTAGCCGCACGCTGTGCCGCTGTATTTTGGGTGAGCATAGTTGAGTCAAGTGAGTGGATTTGAGCGAGAGAGGTGAGTGTGAGTGAGAGCGAGATTGAGATTAAGAGTGAGAGGGATCTGGGGTGTTGAGACTCACTCTCAATATCTGCTGTAGACATGGGAAATTACCGAACAATCAGTATCCCTATTTCCGCAACTCTTCAATTCAGCAGACTATTCGGGTATGCGTGTCTCTATTACCTGCCGTTTCAATACCAATCTACATACCATCACCGTCTTTGGCTGGACCCGTCTCCCGGTGTCTGAATGTCTTGTCTCTGACGGCTAGAGGGAAAACCGATGCCGCATACCACACCCTTTCCGTGGCTCTTGGTTCCAACTTCTCATCCTAATGCGGCACTGCGGCCACGCCCTAGCCCTTCAGTCTTGGCTTCCTTCGAACGAGTCGACAACTCGACAGGCTTCTTCCTAGGCTTGCTTGCCGCCACCCTCGGTATCTTCTTGTCTTGTTTTGAGTTTGATTGGCTCCCCCGCAGCAAGAGGACAGCAGCATCGGGGGTGGTCCCCCCATCCCAGGGCGGGGGAGATATGGGGACGTGTGTCTGCTAAGGCTCATTTCGTCTGTGTTTTTTTCTGGGGAACATGGGGAAAATGAACGCCGGTGGTTTGGATGGCTTCAAGGCCTTGTCTGGTCTTGGATTCTTGGGTCTTTGGATCCACCGTCCTGGGTGCTTTCGTGTATGTCTTGTCTTACGGACCAGGGGGGGCGGGGGTGGGTGAAAAGAAGGGGGTTGTAGTCGTCGTCGACTTGCTGTCTTTTCGCGGGGAACTGGGGCTGGACCCGAACGGATACAAAAAGGCTGTGTGCGGATCGTTATCGAAGCGTCGTGTCATCCGATGCTACTCTCAGGATCTTTGTGTTTCTTGAGTAGATAACCTCCAGAGTTTCCCCCTCTTGACTTTGGGTTGTTTGTTCCACATCCTTATTCGAACGGCATTCCTCAGTCCTGCGTCGGCGTTGATTAGAAGGCCCAGACCTCTTTCTCGATTGACCCCCTCCCTTGGTCAAACTCAATAAGTGACGCACAATCTGCAGCTTCTGTGCGCCGTCGACACCAGTCCCTCGTCTTTCACTTCTTCGACGACTCATTCACAGCGAGCTTCGATCAACGACACAACCGCCCAACATGGATCGTCCCGTCTCAGACCCCGAGAAGGCAGGCTTCGAGCACAGTGACCACATCAGAACCAGCTCCATCAACGACTCCCATGATCTCGACATTGACCATGGCTTCACTGCTGAGGAGCAGCGCAAGATCATTCGCCGAGTCGACCGAAGACTCGTCGTCACTGTCGGTGCCATGTACTGCGTGTCATTGATGGATCGTACCAACTTGTCTGCGGCCGCCATTGCAGGCATGACCAAGGAATTGGGTCTCTATCTCGACAACCGATACGTGAGTTGAACTCGATGACTGTGTGTATGGTCGATGAGGGTGGACAGCTGACCATTGACTTCAACAGAGCATTGCTTCCCTCCTCTTCTTCATCCCGTACATTATCTTCCAGCCGCCCTCGACCATCATTGTTCGCAAGATTGGACCTCGTCTTCACCTTGGTGGACTTACCCTCTTGTGGGGTGCTGTGATGATCGGTATGGGTTTCTCAGCAAAGTACACACACTTGTATGCATGCAGAATTCTCCTGGGTGTTCTCGAGGCCGGATTCTTCCCCAGTTGTGTCTACCTTCTCAGCACATGGTACACCAGATGTAAGTTGGCACCCGCTGATGCTGCCTCCACGACCAGACTTCTGACCATGAACAGATGAGGTCGGAAAGCGATACTCCGTCTTCTACCTTCTCGGCTGCGTCGCTTCCGCCTTCTCCGGTATTCTCGCTTTCGGTCTGATGCAGCTCAACGGCCAACAGGGCCTGACTGGATGGCGCTGGATCTTTATCATCGAAGGTGCTCTCACCTGCTTGCTCGGCCTCGCAGGCTACTGGCTCCTCGTCGACTTCCCCGACTCCAAGAAGCGCAAGGACTGGAACTTCCTCGGCGAGCGTGAGCGCGCCTGGATTGTCGCGCGCGTGAACCGTGATCGCGGTGACGCCCACATTCCCGCCTTCAACCTCAAGAGATTCCTCGGTGCCGGCGCCGACTGGAGAATCTGGGCCTACGCCATGATCTTCTTCAACACCACCACCGTCTCGTACGCGCTTGCATACTTCTTGCCCATCATTCTGCAGGTCAACATGGGCTTCGACGTTGGTGCCGCGCAGTGCCTCGTCGCGCCGCCTTATGCCTTTGCCGGTATCGTCATGTTCGCGACCGCGTGGTTGGGTGATAGAATGAAGTTCCGTGGTCCCGTCATTCTCATCAACATGCTCTTCTGCATCGTTGGTCTTCCCATCATGGGTTTCCACTCCAGCGCGGCGGTGCGCTACTTTGGCGTCTTCCTGACCACGGCCGGTGCCAACTCCAACGTCCCTGCTGTGATGGCGTACCAGGCAAATAACATCCGTGGCCAGTGGAAGCGAGCTTTCTGCAGTGCGACTCTTGTCTCGTTCGGTGGTATCGGAGGTATTGCCGGTAGCTTGCTCTTCCGTGAGCAGGACAAGCCTCACTACCGCCCGGGCATGTACGCCTGCATTGCGTGCAGCTTGTTGACGTGCATTTTGGTCAGCTTGTTGACTGTTGACGCCTACTTCAAGAACAAGAAGGCCGACAGGGGCGAGAAGGAGCTTGAGGCTGATGATGTAAGTGTTTCCCACAAGACTCTTCTTGAATTAGGACCGATTGCTAACCAGAATGTGCAGGAGGGTGCTCAGCCTGGTTTCCGCTATACCTACTAAGGGATATTCTGTGGGTGGATCAGCGTGCTTTATGATTAATGAAAGAGATTATGACAATCTCCAGCGGGATTTGGTGGGATTCAAGGGACAAGGTGCTCAGCGTCATGAGAATATACTATCCGTGTAGCAAGGCTTGTGCCAGTGAATAATACCGAGCGAGAGCTCTTGAATGAAATTTGGGTGCGAACAGTTGCGACCTCCCATGGTGTTTAAGTAAGTCAGTGAAATTGCGCCATCCTGTGAGGAATAGTAATCGTTCCGTGATCGACGCAAGTGCCGAGGCATGCGACGGCAGACAGACGAGAGGTGCGTTATTGGTGGCTGCGGGATTCGTGAAGAAACGTGGGAGACGGCGGCGCTAGGCGCCGTGAGCGATGCGTGGTTGGCCGGCGAGGGCTCCGGTGGCTCGGGCTACGCCGTCTAAGTCTCGGCGCCGGCGTCGTGCATTGGACCTTTGGCATGTGTGTAAGCCCTGCGGCTCCAAGGATTAGTCTTCCTGTCATCATGTGGCTGGGTAGAAGCATTTACATGGTTCTGCCTGCACATGTTAAGCTTCAATGATGGGGCCGGCACCGGCAACTTCCCTTGAGTGACACGTTGCTTCAAGGGAAAGATGGTTGGGATATGGACTCGAAAGGCGGCCTCAAGCCTTGGGAACATGTATGCTTCATTCATATCGACATAT